AAACTGTGCTCTTCTTTAAGAACCATTGATGCAACATATTATTCCACAGATTAGAAAACAAACCTCTCTCTTGATTCCAAAGCATTTTACACATAGATCCATTTGTACACACAGATCCATTTGCACATCTACTATTTAAAAAAAGAATAAAACAGCACAAACAAAAGAACATGCAATACTACAAAGGGAAAGCAAATACAATGAATGCTCATTCTCAATTCAACTTAATTGTTTTTATTTATAGGCTAGCCTATGGTATTTGTCACAATATCAAAATGTCTCCTATCAAGTACACTTTGTGGCAGCTATCTCATACAACAAAGAACAGTCTTACTCTGGGCAGTAGGTTCTTAATCAGTGTCTCAAATCAACACCAAAGATAAGCCCACTTTCTCCATTGTGATCAAAGTCAAAAACCTTAATGTAATTGGGCAACGTATCCTCTTAAACCAAAAAAAAAAAAAAAAAAAAAAAAAAAAAGGTTATTTAACTGCATTACTATATGTTCTCTGTCACATAGCCAGGAAGTCTGAACTGCTTTAGCAAAGCATGCCAGCTAGCAAAATACTGCCTCAGCTTACTGCATTTCCTAAACATCATGACAAATTCCCAGTCAATAAAGATCTTAAGTATTTACTAATCCTTAAATAATTAACTAATTGCACATTCCACAAAACATCCTAAAACAAAAGGGCTATTATCTGCCCATAAAATCAAGAACATACATTCCTTAAGAACTGAAGTTTCAAGTCTTGAAATTTTGAACTTAGTACTTTTACTAGGAAACTTAGTACTTGAAATATTGACTGAATTAGAAGTTGTATGTGAAGAGACCAGCACACTCTGATCTTCACTTGGTAAAGACTGCATTATTCCCGTTCTCTTTACATGGAAAGGAATACAGGCGTAGCCAAGAGACAAAATGTCACTGCCACCTTAGGCAGTCCACTTCAGGAGTCTATATTTAACTGTTAACATTAAGCAAAAGATTGAAGTAACTACATTAACTATGACAAAAAAAMCACTATATGCTCCTACACACTGTAGGTTTAAGTATGAGAATTTTCTTTCAGAAATGCCAATGCTAAAATTTCTTTATGTCCTCATGCCCCAATGAGGATCTAATGCCATCTTACTATTACAGGTATCTAAACTTTTTAATTAGTACATTCCACCTCCAAAAGCAAAAYTTCCAGGACATACACAGGTAATTCACTAACTCTACATTTCTTGTCCACTTTTTCAAACAGAAAACTTAAATCTACATAGCTTCCCTAGGCAATTAACCCATATCAGCTGGCATTAAGGATTTAAGCACCTTTCTCGATATAAGACGTGGTAGAGGCTTTGGGGGCCTGAAATAGCTAAGAAAATAAGATTGGTGGATGGCCTATGTATGACTCCTCATACAGAAGGATGAGTAGGTACCAACAGAAGCCAAACTGCAAGATCACAAGACACATTCATATAGCTTTTTCATTTTTGATCATTACTAAAATATTGATATAAATTTTTWAAAAAGTGATATGTCTACCAGCCCTACTATTGGGATTTGTATTAGAAAAAACAGGATTTTACATGTTCTGCAATCAACTATTAGAAGAATATACACACATTGTGTAAAAGAATACTGGTGGACAAAATGGGTGTCATTTATGAAATCCTTTTATAAAAATTAACTAGCACATAACTAACCAGCTTTCCCTAGAAGCCAGTGTTTATGAACTTGTTCCTATTTCAAATCAAGATCAAGAGACTGCAATTCTCTTTAGTTTAGCTTTTCAGAAATTTTATATAACTGCCAGTTATACATATGAGAATTGTTAACAACTATATTTAATTTTACTATTTTAGCACGGAGAATGACCATAAGCAGCATACTAGGTTACTTATAATCACTCTAGAACCACTGAACAACAACAGCCTATTAGACCTTTAAGCGGGAAAAATAAACAAGAAAATCCCACTAATTTCTATGAGACACAMTGTGTTGCTACAGTTTCAAGCATTAAGAAAACATTATGCAGTTGGGCATATCGTTATGTTTCAGCAACTGCACATATGTATGTTATGCAATGACATATTGTATCTGTCAACTTTCTTCTCAGTATAAGAACAGAGGTGTTGTCACTGTCAATATATGTCACCTTCTCAAAAACGCATGTCTTCACAATTACTAGTAAGGTATTTAAAATTTCTGCAGTATAATGGGTATAAAWTTATAAAACAAGGCACTACACAGCACACACACACACACAGCTTTTTGATTTAAAAACATCTCCAGCAATAGATTTACAATGAATCATGGAAGCAGCATTGGAATACTACCATTGGTTTTACTACCATTCATATAATACTGCCAGTATTGATAATTGGCTAGTAGTAAGTTATCAAATGGTATTAAGTAAGGAAAAAAAACAGTGAACAAGTGAACTGAGCTATTGAAGTGCTAGTAGAAAACAAAAGGRTGAAAAAAAGGCTATGAATGCCACTATATTTCAGTCACATAGGCCCTAGCAGTTAGTATTAATAAGTGGACTACACAGCACCAGTAGCTTAATGACACACTAAAGTAGGTGCTCAAAAACAGAAGCACATCCTGGAAAACTGCCACAGAGGATACAAGTGGGCAAGACTATTAAGAACCAGTTCACTATCCAGCAATTTATGTATCTGCATACTTTCTTTTTAAATATACCCAGATAGCAAATTAATGTTTTTCTATTGATTTTTCTTTGCATAAATACTCTATACAGCTTTTAATCTTTCAAGGGGCTTTGTACATTAATGTATCTATCACTAACTAGTTAATAATGTAGTGTATTCAAGTCTGACTAACAATTTTGAAATGAGGCAAGGTGAAGGTCAAAGACCTCTCCTTGAATATAATTAGAACATGACACAGTCAAACACAGCCAAAAGCAAACACACTAGCTTGCTTTCTTTCCTTTTTTTTTTTTTTTTTTTTTTTTTTTTTTTTTTTTTTTTTGGGCAATCAAAACACACTTTATTCCAGTAGGTTTCCATTTTTTTTCCAGTAGGTTTTATACTGAAATTAAGCTTCTAAGTAAACTAATAAGCAAATGCATGCATATGCAGTAGTTTTGACTGTCAGTCAATATCCTTGTATAAAGGATTAAAAAAAAAATCAACTAGCTTATAAAAAAACAAACTTAAGACTACAGTGAAGCCACAACAATGTTATATAAAAGTTTAATCATAAAACAAAAAAAAAAAAGATGAAACATAAATAAAATCTCACTAGGATAAGAAAAGCAAGACTATATCATCTCAGAAGTGGAATACATCAGTGTAAAGCCTGGTCCATGGGAAAAGTTTGCAACAGAAAGAGAAACTTCCTTTGTACACACATTATCTTCAAAATATATCCAAGACTAAAGAGAGGATGATCATTATTTGGGCAACAATATCAGAATTAGTTCCTAGCAATATAGTTCAGTTTTCTTTAGAAGACCCCAAAGAAAATGGTGAAAGTAAAATTAAAGAATAAGACAAAATACTATAATTCTATTCATACACACATATAGGCATATGTATACAAATATTTATACACACACATATACGTGCATTTGCAGGAAACGGATCGGTACAGGTAGCCAATTTATGGCATTTGTTTTCACAGAAAGAAGAGCAAAAGATTTCAAGAGCAAGTAAATGGATTTTGTTGTTGTTTCTGTTAGTTTGGAAACATAAAAGGACTTGCAGTTAGCTAATCTTTTTTAGGAGTAAAGGAGGGACTGACAGAAGTTGCTTCAAAGCACAAGCGGTAAGCAAATGTGTGCACCTTCTTTCTAGTACAGGATATCAAATCTGTGTGTAGCAGCTGACCCTTTTTATGGCCCTGGCTAGCTCCTGACAAAAAAAAAAAAAAAACAACAAAAAAACATGTTATGGATTTTCCTGTTCCTGGAAATCCAAAGGGATTACAAAATACACTCTGAAGATTAAAAAATATTAGGCATTTCCTCACCCTATAACAATACCACATTCAACAGAAAGTAGTATCAACTGGAACACAGAGTACCCATACAAGAGTTGAGCAATTAATTCACAGGATAAAATAAACTGAAGGTTCAGGAGCGGAGTTTATATAGAAACCTGTAAGCGAACCTTACTACATGAAAACTATTAAGGTTCAACATTCTTGCTAAACTGTGTGTTTCAGTGTCTCATGCAGAACTGGTTATTCCCTCTATGACATACCAGAGTTGTATGACCTTCATTTACTCTTTCAAGCGACTTACTATTAACTTTATGATTACAGACAGTAAGGGCAAACAAAAACACTATGAAGATACAGGAACAAAATRGAAATATTATTACATTTTCTTATTTTGTAATAACACTAAACCCCTTCCCATCAAGTATTTTCAGAAGGAGGGTGGTGGGAGGAAGAGGCAGAAAAAAGATACAACCTATTTTTATTTCTCCAGAGCTAGTAATGAACAACAAAAGTATTCAAAGACTGAATGTTTTTCTACATTATTATTGCTTGTCAGCTTAAAGATAGAAATGTAGCCAAATAAGCTACCTATAGTAGAAGGACAGAAAGTCTTTAGAATAAGAACTATACCTGAATGAGTCTCAAAGAAGAGAGCCTAGCTTCTGGATTTCAGCAATGAAATAGTAAAAAAGTGAACATGCATCAGGTATGAGAAAAAAACTAATGGTAATTAAATAAAAAGAAACAGAAAGCAGACATGAGCAAAACTGATTTAAAGCAGAATGAACTATAGCTACCTAAAGCATGAAACAGCCATTTGCACTTCTAGCAAAACWGAGAGCACAGTAGTTTACTTACACACAACACACAAGATGACAACAACAGAGAATGTAACAGTACTGCACAAATAGAACTAACCAGAGACGACATGCTAAGCATGCTAAAWATCACTTTCTACAACTTAGAAAAACAAGGGCTCTCTCTATTAACAGTACAGCATGCTGATGCATTGACCAGAGAAGTGCAGTTTGCTTACCTCCTGCAAAAGGTCTGCCTGCTCAATGGCTTTGAGAACATTTTTCTTGGAAGTCTCCTGAACTTCCCCTCCCAAAAGGAATTCATCCAGAATGAAATAGGCTTTTTCAAAATTGAAGATGATATCAAGTTCACATACCTGAAAGAGCACTGAATGTTACTGCAAGCAGGGCTGATCCCACTTACTGACTTGCCCTGTTACAAAACTGAACGTGCTCTCAACTTCACCAACTCAAGATGTCAGCCTTGGGCTATAGCCTTGGGCTGTATCTTGAGGAACCACAAATCACTCACTTGAGACCAAACTAAGTGAAAAGTATATTTTTGCTCCAGTTAAATGCAACTAGAGCAGCTTCTCTCTTCAAGGGGAGTTTTCATAGCTTAAAGTTTAGTTAATAGCTTTCACTCTTAGGTAGCTGTTTATAAAGCATGAGAAGATTCTTGTAAAAGTTCTCTTCTTGCTTCTTTATCCAAATCGAGTTTATGTGACTCCATACAAACTTACAGAAATTTCACAATATCATCTTACCAATGTTTTATTCATTCTGTGCATGTCCTAGTTAAAGGTTCCAAAAGGATGAGCCAGAAATCCTCCTAAAAGCACTAATACATACTACTACAATTCTATTTAAAGTTGGTATCTGGGGAAGCAGATGTCTGTCTTCTCTTCCCATATCCCCGCTCACCAGCAACTGTCCGATATAGAAGCAGATGGAAGTAGCGCTGATGGACAGGGGAGTATATACACAAGGAGTAGGAAAGCTGTGAGACTAGACAGAAAACTCAGGATTCCTAAGATTTTATCCAAACACAAGACCATTGTGAACTAAGAAATGAAATGAATAAAGGCAATTATCACATTAACAATCACCCTCCCACAAACTCATCAATTCCTTTTATACAGATTAAATAGTTAACTATAGTTGTGTTTGATCAAAAAACACAAAATTTGCTTGATACATCTTTTCAAAAAGTRGTTTATCACTTTTATTTCACAGCACTTTTTAGAAGTGGCACACTATGAATCTGGCATGTATGAAGTGACACACTATGAATCTGAAAAAAAACAAACAAAAAAATAACCAAAATAGAAGCACCAACTCACACTGCCAAAATACTTGTCAAGAAGTTCCACGTAGCGATGAATTATTTCCAGAGTTATTAGTTCATTGTCCTGGTCTTCAATAGCACAGCAAAAATAAAGGCTTGCATATCTGTAACATCAAGAAAATAATCTTTACATTGGCATAAGAATATGGACAAAATGGATGAATTTGAACAGTTTGATTTTCAGCAGTCCTTCATGCTGGAGTCTATGACCGTGCTGTTATCCTTTATAAGGAGACCCTCAAGTGCTACGAGGAGAACAACTAAGATACCTTGAGTAAAGAAAGACTTCGGTCTTTATCATTCTTTAAATGAGGGATTAAATTAGCCTCAGAAGTGTTTGGAAAAGAAAATGTATTTTTTCATCTAGATTTTTGAAGCAAGGTATTTCTTCTATTATCTCTAACAGACAAGCACTAGTCTCCTAACTAACAAATTACATCCTTAAATTTGTAATACACAAGCTACATATAAATTCACAAAGACTGAAAATGGCCATCTATTTCAAGTAAGAAAAAAGCAAAACAGGAGAAAAATCTTAATTTAACCTAGAGCAATCTATTTCGATCCTAAATGCAACAAATTCTTTACTTCAGACATGATTTTGAATTCCACTTTGAACAAAAAAAGATCCCAGCATCAACTCTAGTGTATCCCTCCACACCCTTTTGTTTAAAAAAAAAAAAAAACATAAAACGCAAAAAGGAATGAGGAAAGCTGAAAATCCATTCCATCGTCTCTAAGATAAGGCAGAAACGGGATCTCAGACCTAAGTTACTAGTTACAACAAGTATCATGTGAATCCAGAGCAGCCTCTATGCTGCCTGTTTAGAGAGAGTAACTGGCAACAAGCAGCTCTCCTTGAGTAGCTAATCCTATGGAATCAGAAGTCATTCAGATGTGAGTGCCAAGTTTGTAAGATTTATATTCTTTACCTATATACAGAAATGCACAAATCTTCTAAAGGTTACAAGGAAATTTATCAGACAGAACATATTAAGTATCAGAAGTCCTCAGAGTCTTTTGGCTGGAAAAAGACATGAAAGAAGTTTCTGTTTTGTAGTATGGAAAAATATGAAATTATACAAATATCAATACTATCATATAGATGACCTAATCTATGTTTCTTGCTGTAAGTAAGCATTTTAATTAGGGGAGAATTTTGGCCAATTAAATCACATACRGTTGAGGTTGGAGAGGACCTCTAGAGATCATCTAGTCCAACCAGCTCCAGCAGGGACACCAAGAGCACGGGGCCCAGGGTGGCATACAGGCGGGTCTGGAAGATCTCCACAGAAGGAGGCTCCACAACCTCCCTGGGCAGCCTATTCCAGGGCTCTGTCACYCTCACAGYGAGGAATTTTTTCATATGGAGATAGAATTTCATCTCATGCCGTTTTCATCCTCTTGTTCAGRATACGCTTAAGTTCCCTTGCTTACTCCAGGACATTAGTAGCATCACCACAAATTATACTTGTTCTTTAAAAGAAATTTTCCCTAAAGAGCACACGCTAAATATTTTTGTGCTTGCTCTTGGGGGGAGAAGGACGGGAAAGGAGGGAAGGTGTGTGTATATACACACACACACACCCGCTACCTTGCTCTCATTTTATTTCCTATTAAAAACATCTCTCTAGCATCAGCATGGCCGAAGACATTGTCAGCTAAGCGTCTCAGAGATATTACAAATAAAAAAAAAAAAAAAAGTTTACTCCTTCAAGTAACAGTATCTACTCTGCCTATTTCCAAACATCACCCAAGCTCTTAAGTTCAATAATTGAACTATTGCTCCCAGGTCTCATTTATCCAATTTCTGTTAAAATTGGTCTCCCTCTTCCTAAGMTGCCATCATTTATAATCTGCAAGTCCCACTTCTGCTGTAGCTGCATCCAATTGATACGGCTTCATCATTACAAACAATCACTTTTATCCAAACGTTTAAACTATTATGAAGAAGTGACTATCTACAATTTACTGCCACAGAAATCTGACTTTAGATGGTTGGTAAGATATCTCCATCCAATGAAGCTCTTAACATTTAAATATCTTGTTCTTTTATTTCTTCACCACTGTGATTTATTATTACTTTGGAAAACCCATCTGAGCCCAGTTTGATTTTAYACTGTTGATCCGTCCCCAACTTTAATATTTCAAGGATATCTACTATCATTGTAGTAACTTGCAAGATACAATTTGTATAGTGCCTTTTTAGACAAAGCTTAAAAAGACTGGAAAGTGATACTCTACATAAAAAACAGGCTTTCAAACCTAATGATAAAACCCCAGGTTAGTTTTAGTACATTATTTAATGCTTTGCTCAGACCAAATCCATTTWAAAAAAAAAATAAATAAATAAACTTTTACCATATTCCAATGAGCAGCTCTGATTACAACCAAGTAGTCACACTGTCTCCTTTTAGTGCTTAGGCACAAGTTGAATCTCAAAGTGTAGACCTCATCAAACCAAAATTGACTCAAGTGTTTGATACAAAAGGGCTACCTTATGTGGAAAAATGTATTTCTCTATTACTTAAAGAGATTAATTGACACACAAAATTATTTAAGAAAGAAAAAAAAAAAAAGAGAGAGAAACCTTATTCAACCTGGAACACTTTGCAGAAAACTAGTCTGTCCTCAGTGTCCTCATTTAAAATAAAGCATAACATACTTTTGAAATACTTTATTTAGCAGCTATTGAGTAGAGTACGCTTTCAAGCTCTGCCAACTGCAGTTTCAGAGAAAAGACTACTAAGAAGCAAAGCTACTTTGTGGACACTTTACCGCAGAATGGAGGCCTGGGTATCTATTATTATACACAGAAAACATTTTTCAGGTTCTCAAGTAGACAAACCGAAAAGCAGCTGAGGACACAGAATAAGACTAATTCCTACCTTTGCTAGCCCATTTTAGAGTTCTCTTGCTAGAAGAAAACAAGTACACAAGCTTTCCTACAACTGCACATTTACTCAGAAGTAGGCATAYGGTAGGCAACATTTTTGCCACCAAAATGTCCTTTGCTACTCAGCTCAGATTGGATCATTCTGCTACGGGGAAACACAAGGAGCWGGCCACTTGTGGGCAGAAGGGTGCAGGTGTCAAGTCCCACTGATCCAGCAGCATTCTCCTACCAYGAGAGGACACATCTGGAAGCAACACCAGGTGAAGCCGCAAGCCATATGGCTGAAAGCATCTTGGTAGCTTTCCATGTAAATTCCCACTGCAGAAATTTAAAGCCTACAGAGTTAGGCTGCACTGAAAATGACAACACTGTCTTCAAGAGGCAGGCACGTATTTTAAAGAGCTCAAGAATCTGGGGTTTGGTRATAGTTTGCCAACATTTATATGGTGACAGCTATAGCAATGGGAGCTGCGCTTGCCAAGACGTTGTTTTTTTGGTTTTTTTTTTCCCCTTTCTTCCTCTTTCCACCTTTGTAGAACTTAAGAACTTAATGATGTTTCTTTATTAAAGCATGAAATTTTGAGACTGCAGGACAGGCACACCAGTTACACTTCATTTAAGGATGTAGAAATCATCAATAATAATTACACCCAACATGGGTATTTCTTTCACCATATCTAATTTCAAACCTAAAAAGGAAACTGATAGTTTTCAAAATTAACAGAAACTTTAATTCCTTCTGCAGGAGGAAATTTTTTCTTTCTATGTCTGAGTGACAAGAGCCTAGAATATTCTACAAAGACATATTTAACAAACTTAAAATAACCATAGCTAAGCACCTAGTCCAGTATAATCACTGCATGTAGCTGGTTTTGGAGTTTCTTCCGTGTTAAACCATTTTTAGATACTATTAGATGAAGTTGGCAGTTCCTGCGTATGTAACAACAGACACTGATCATGCCAATTGCTGGACACATTTCATTAAATAGATAATATTACTGTACCATGGGATCAAAACATTGTCAGTCAGCTAAGGACATGCACTATTTGCAGAAAGGATCTGTTTTGGGGAGAGGGAAGCAGAGTCATAGAGGTATGGTACAAAATATTGTTTTAAAACTTCAGTTTAAGTTTTTAAGGGAGCCTACAACTAAGGTTACTTTAAATTAACTAAGAATTGCTACCTCACTAGGAGCAGCACAAGTTGTGACAAATTCAGACTACTGCATATGCAGTTATGTATTGCAGTATAAAAATCATCCTTGAGTCGCCAGTCAACAACCAAGCCCCACATTTAACAAGGTTTAACAAGTGCTAACAAAGTAAACTTACGTAAAAAGCAATTATTCTATAATTTCCAATTTTGACTGCGATATATCACATAATGAAAACAACTAACATTAGCAGAAGYTAAACCAATGAATAGCTGAGAAAGTATCTATATCAAAAAAAGTCATATTCTTGTTTCTCTCCTTCCCCTGACCCCAGCATTTCAGGCTGCATGCTCCCCATCTCATTTTTCATCAAAATACTGGAAATTTTTATTTAACACAAATTCTTTCACCACAATAGGAAAGCAACAAAAACTTTGACTCTCTATGCTCCAACACTCCCAGTATTACCAGAAGGTAACAGTATGCGAGTGTGATGGCATTTGTTAAGCTCCCAGTCTGCCCTCAGCAGATGACACCCTCATTATTGTAATAAAGTACAATAGTTGCTGGCTTGCCAAATTTGATTTTTTTTTTTTTTTTTAGCAAGTCACTTCAAGGATTTACTTGTCTCCCAAAGTAATGAGTTCACAACCTTTTTTCAATCTTCAGGTGTCGACTAGTCTGAACAACTCTCTTCCAAACCTTCAATAGATGCATCCATCCTAAGTTATGAGCCATATCAAATGCAGGGCCACCTCTTCACCTTTTTTTGGAGATGTAAAAAATAACTACGAAGGCAACAATGACTAATCCAATTCTACAGCCGTAATTGCAATTGCCGAAGTGTTACATATATTAAACTTGTGAAATTAAAAAGAAAGTACTCATATAGAGTACTTCAAAAGAAAGGCAGATGAAGCTACTGGCTTATCAATTTTGCATTTCAATTTGTTTTGCTGGAGAAAAAAAAAAGAAAGAAAAAAATGCCTAGCACACCTTTAATATGGTCAAACTGTTTGAGCTAGACAATCCTCTCCAGTACCTGAAACTTTTGACAGTTAAGATATTCTTAAAAAAGATAAGTACTGCACATCAATTACAGCAATTTAAAATCTGTTAACAGCAATATGCACATGCTTTTATAGATATGTTAAAAAACAGAAAAATAAACTAAAACATTAAAAGCTCCTGGACTCCAACAATTAAGGTGGTCATTTKGGGATTATCTACTTGAAGTAGCAGATCACTCCTTTAAAAAAGAGATTATGCTAGTTTCAGATCCTAGGATTTAAAATTTACTATCAACTTTTACACCCAATCCTTCCAGTGACGTTTTACCTTAATGAAACTTGCCTACAAAAGCTAAACAGAATAACTTTGATACAAGCTTATCTAAAGCGATGGTTTTAAGACGCTAGCTGTGCCAGATTGATTATTAAACAGCAACATAAACTACTACAGTGAGCTGTGCATATCAGTACTTCAACAGATGCACCGCAGTCCATCTACATCCAGCCCCAAATGGTCTACACAAAACTTCTCTCCTCCTTGACCACAGGCCTCACAGCCTGCACACAAGCACCACAGCTTCGAGCATCTTGAATATTAACACCTTAACCCCCACCAGTTTGCTGGGCGTAAAAGGGCACAGCAATATATAGGTTACAGCAATGAACAGACAAGGAGGGAGGACTACTCTGTGGACACACCTTYCCCCTAAGCAGCTACTGCCCTGTGGTGTTGTACGAGAAGGAAACACACTGGCCTACCTGAGCCTATTTTCTCCTCATCTGGCCCCATAAAAGCCCAGCTTAAAGAGCACTTGCATATATCATCACTTAAGGGACACATAAAACATTTAAGCAAGCTTGTCTAAGTGTATGCACATAAGGTTTTTTGTGAGGAAATCAACAAGCAGCAGAATAAAATTCTGTCTTCTCTCTTTAAGCATGACCTTATACGTTGTTCCTCCTCCTTCCCTATGGACGCATCATTATCCTTGCGAGAGTAGGAGAACTATACCCAAATATATGGGCAACATTTATTCGCATGACATTACATGCAATGATGTATATATCAGACCAGGATCTAAAGGTCCAATCCTTGAAAAAGTTAATAACTCTTAAAGTCCAATTCCCTTTCCCTTCAGAGAGGGGGCAGTAATACTGTGCAGCACAGGAGTGATTTACTACCTCACATGAAAATAAGAACGCACAGATTAAAGTTTACATGTAACTAGGGAAGGGAATTAACTCAAAGTTGCATACCACCGGCTTAAGATGGAAGAGATGCCATCTAGCAAATTGGGACCAGAAYTACAGTTATTCATGCAGCAAAGTATTTTCATACTTTACTTGCTAAAGGTCAGCATCAAGGAAAGAAGCTCTAGTCACMGACCACCCTTAGAAAAGTTACCGAACAAATGAGAAATTAAACCATAAGCAAAGAAYATTATATACAGTACTTCCATCAAAAGAAAGTTAGGCATGGTTTCTCAGATTAGGAGCTACTGTTCTTTTCAACCTTATCAAAGAAAATTCATTTACTCTGAAATAACAAAGTAATATTCTTATTTCTATGAGCCTTTAAAAGCACATTGCATTTGCAGCTCATTTATGAAGTCATTGCCCGAGGTAAACGTTTATAAAATTTAGTTTTTCTTTATTAGCTGTTAAATCATACATGCATGCTTCATATTTGTATCAATTTATTTACTATGGACATCTAAACAGAGAACTAGTAAGAACCACTTCTTATTAAAGTAGAAGGAAATCTCATCTCTTTTCTTCAACACATTGCTAAATGCATGAGTGATTTTCAACACATGAATGACTCCTACTTGGTTATCAAATTAGATTCAAGGAAAAAACCTCAAACCCCACACTTCTCCATAACCAATGGGCTGGAAGAGCAGAGGAGGGAGGCGGAATGAACCGTCACTATTTTCCTGCTACTTATTACATTGTTTGTGATGTATGGCAATTATGAGATTAGTGAGACAGAACAACCTTTTGTAGACAATCTTCAGGTCTCTCCATTCCAGGAAGCTGCACATTTTCGGTTTGCGGGCTAATACTGTTTGAACAAGTTCCCTTGTGATTTTCTTCTTTTCTTTGTCAGATAATGGAACATACCACTTCTGAAGTCTCAGTTTCCCCTGACGACTAAAAAGCAACATAAACTGCATCTGTTGAATTGGAAGAAAAAAAAAAAGAAGAAAAAAGAAAAAAAAAAGAGATTATTCTCAGTTCTCTGTTGGATTTATAATGATTTCTATGAGGGGAAACAAACCRGAAACAAAATAGCCATACAAAGCCCTACATGAACTGCTAACTACACTGAATATTCCTAAAGCAGTAGCAGATAACATACACGATCTGACAGCATGGTTAATAAGATTGAACTAAACAAGGTTAGTCACAGYCAAAATGGAAGAAAGCAGACACAAGTTTCAGAAACAGATGTCAGAGCCACCAGACAGCAAATAAACCTAAATTCCAGACAAACCATGTCCAGCAGTGGCACAGTTGCATTTGCATTTACTAYAGACAAGGAAATAAAATAATTAAAAAACCCCAAAGCAAAAACAGCAGCACAGTCATCTCCCTCAACACACAAACTCGTTTTCAATTGACTGGACTACAGCCTTACAGCWGGCGCAATTTGCACTTAAGATCTCCCTGAAAAGCCTCCGCATACTTTTAAGAGGCATTAAACCTCCCGATGGAGACTCCGCCGGCACAGAGCAGCCTCGCCGACCCTCGCATTACACAAAAGGAACAGACGTTAAGTGCTTTTCCTGCCGTCCAGGTCTCGCTTCCTCCAAAGGAGTGATGTTGCAGTTACATTTTAAGAGGAACTCGCCTGCGTTTTTCCAGCGGCTGTAACCTTATAGGAAACAGTCGCTTTTTTTTTTTTTTTTTTTT